AGAGGGAAAATTGCAATGTGCTACAATGAAAACTTAGGAGTTTTCTTCAACTTTGGGCACTTTTACATACCAGGAGGATTTTTTTAATACTAAAAGATTTCTACTTTTTATTTCTTTCTTAAATGAAAATAACACACTACAACAGTCTTAGAAAATATCATCATTTATTTTTGCTACACTGTACAACATGATTTTACAAAGTGAATAAAACAGGAAGATACAATTTCAGTCTTTCTACTTAAAAAATGTTTAATTCAATATGTTATTTGTCATTTCTTTGTGGTTATTTCTGAAATTTACTAGCAATTTCTGATTGAAAATTGTTTCCAAGTAAATCCTACATCTTTTTTTTTCAGTGTACTTTACAAAAGGCTTTTTTTAATGTCCATTTATAGATTATAGTGTTTTTCTCTTGTCCCAGGATTTAATGTTAGTCCAGGAAAATTCTTCATAAAAATATAAATTACTGATGATAATCCAAACAAATATTGAAGTATAATATATCTATTTCAATATTTATTGAGTGAAAATGATTTATATTAAGGCTGCACGATAAATCATATGCGATTGTCATGCGCATCTCGTCAGTAAAGCCGGTTCTGTGATTAGTAGTAAATCTCCATCTTTCAGATGGAGTGGCATTTAATACACAAAGCCGTAGTTCACTGACAAGCTACGCAATATCGCGTTCATAATCGCAGATGAATCACCTTCCGATTATGAACGCGATATTGCGTAGCTTGTCAGTATGTATGTTTAACAACAATTATTTCCTAAAAACCCACTGGGCCAAAAGTGTCTGTAGTTGAAGAAACACCCATTAAAGTCAAAGTCTCTCGCCTTCTCACATACGCACACACAAAAAGCAGCAGCTGTTACCCCTTCTAAATTGAACAAAAGCAGGCTGACAGAGTAGGTGTGTTTACACAGGGCATCCTGATATTGTGCACACCAATTTTACACAGCCTCCATCCATCTCACAGTATTCCTCAATTACTACCACAAATAAAACTGCTCATCCACCAGGGAGCCATCAGTGCATTATGATCAACTATCTCTGACAAAACGTACAACAGCCAAAAAAGAAATAATGCAGGTCCTTAGTTATTACAGTGTCAGAGCTTAAAGTAACAGAGCTGCTACTGAAGTATTACTACTTCATTCTGCATTTGGCAACAAACTACAATAGAGACACTCTCAAGCACACAGGAACAATCCAATCAAAACTGACCCCCTCGGTTGACTGCAGTCTATAAGCCATGCTAAGAAAATCATTGGCCTGTAAATCAGAAACACCTGGTCCTGTCCATTGTTCAAATGAAGAACAAGATCATTAAAGGGATATTTCAACCATAAAATTTCAATTCTGTCATTTTTTTATGACAGAATTGTCATGTCATTCCAAACCTGTATGCATTATTTCTTATTTGAAGATTGGATTTTTAATATATATATGAATATTCTGGCAAAGATTACTTTGACTTGGCATGTATATAAATAGTCATATTAACTACACTGTTTTTTAAATAGTAAATTAAATAAAGATTAGCTGGAGTACGATTTACAAGAAAATACTGCTCCATTCTTTCTACTTCAAAATTTTACATTTACTTCAATGCGTTTTCAATTTCTTTGTAATTAATTGTGAAACTTACTAGTAATTTCTGAGTGTAAATTGTTTCAACACCAATTTTTTTCAATGCATTTATTTATTTATGCATGCATGCCAGTCCTCATTCACTTCAATTATTTTAAAAAGAATGGCCACAATATTCTTAAAAATCCTTCTTTTGCATGCAAGTAAACTAATATGGATATCTTTAGTATGTATACTATTTAAAGTGTATTTGTAACAGTAATATTGTTTAGAGTGTCAACTATTCGATTGAATACTTTTGACATTGTTGGCTCTGTGACAAATTGCTTATGTTCTTCTTAGTGGTTGATTGATATACAGTATATCTATGGAAGCCCATTTCCTCCACTGAAAAAAAAAAAAAAAAAGATAATTGCTACTTTTTACCTCACAATTCCGACTTTTTTTCCCTCACAATTGCGAGTTCACGTCTCGTAATTCTGACTTTTTTTCCTCAGAATTGTGAGATATAAACTCACAACTGCGAGCTTGATATACAGTCAGAATTGTGAGATATAAACTCACAACTGCGAGCTTGATATAGTCAGAATTGTGAGTTATCTCACAATTCTGAGAAAAAACGTCAGAATTGCGAGATACAAAAAAGCAATTCTGAGAAAAAAAAAGTTAGAATTGCAAGTTTAAATCCCACAATTGTGACTTTATAATTCGCAATTGTGAGTTTATATCATGCAATTCTAACTAAGAAAAAAAGTCAGAATTGTGAGATACAAACAAGCAATTCTGAGAAAAAAAAAAGTTTATATCTTGCAATTCTGACTTTATATCTCTCAATTATGACTTTATAACTCAATTGTAAGTTTGTATCAGGCAATTCTCAGAATTGCGAGATGTAAACTCACAATTGCGAGAAAAATGTCAGAATTGTGGGAAAAAGTTGCAATTACCTTTTTTATTTTTTATTCAGTGGTGGAAATGAGCTTTCTTATATATCGACTTTGGTGTTTTTAAGGGATTTTTAGACCATTTTTTAATTATCTGCATCAGCCAATTTTTTATGTTTAAGCCTTTATAGAGGTTTGAGATGCTATTCTCAGTCATTCTTCATGTAAATGTCACTGATAACTGAACAGTGGTCAGTTTTAGTATGCGAAAGTGTGTCAGAAAGAGGAAACGGTGGACAATGAACTTTGGTTTACATCAGCTCATTAAAATGAATCTGCCTGAAGGATTTTGGGGTATGTAAATGTTTTCATAATGCAGACTCCCTGTCTGTTGCACACAACTAACTCAGACACCATAGTAAAAGAAAGCAAATGAAAGGATGCAGAGAAAAGAGAATAAGCATGTTTTGCAATGACAAACCCTGTTTGAACCACCTGTGAAAAGCACAGAGGCAAGTATAACAGCCCTACATGTCGCTAACGGAATGTGTGCACAGCTCAAACAAGTGCTGGGGACGAAGCAAACATTCCACTCTACTTCCTCTCAATGTATGGGAGATTTCAATTTGTCTTTTCTTGCCCCAAGTGCTTTACACAAATTGTGATGGGGTTTGAAATAATTGGAACAGGGAGATGCCAGAAAAAAAGTAGCCAAAATTTTGACACAATAAATTGTTCGTTTAATGATTGATATTATTTTTAGCTGCATGTTAGTTGAAGTCTGTGAATCCAGACTCAACCAAAAGTCCAATGTATGTACTTTTTATAAATATTTAGTTATTTTTCTTAATCTTAAATATCATACAGAATGAAAAGTTAATGGAATCATAACATTAAAACATTTCAAAACAACTGCATTATCATCATCTTAATCAACCCATTTAATGCTTCATACAAGATAAAGAAAGAAACTACAGTACAAGAAAAAATATATATTTTTATATTCCGTTTTAAGATATCAACATAACAAACAATGTTTTCCTAGCCATGAAGTTTCAAGGGAGAAGAAAAACCTCAGGCTTTCAGGAAGCCAGTTGTTTTGTGTCTCTTGCTTTCAGTCATATCATGCTCACTGAACTGGCTTCAGGTGTAAGCGGTGATCAATACATTGACTTAAAGGCTGCAGCATATGTACTTTATAATGGGGCTCTTTATTCCAAAGACTGCGTGTGCATGTTCACTGAAGCATTATCACCCATCACAAAGACCCCTCCCTGTTTCTGGATCAGTGCTGTGCTTCTTTAAAAGATGCTGTCTGGGAGTGTGCACAGCTGGGGGTTACAGTCAGACGGGTGTTGCCCCAGGCAGAGGGTCCATCACTGCCCCACTTACTCACCAAGCTGTAGATAAAGGGGTCTTCCTACAAATTTCTAAATCAATTCTGTCCCAATCAATCATACAACTAAAGCAGCTTTGTTTTGTCAAAACCTGCCCTTATGCACACTCCCAGCAAGCTTCATATCTTCATAGTTACCATAGTTATGACTTAACATGTTGATAATACCATGATGCTGATTAAAAACAAAACAAGAAGATAATTTAACACTGATATCACCTTTTTCAAGTATGGAATGGTTTCTTCAACAAAAGTCTCTTTGAATACAAGTGCACCCAAAGAGGCTTTCATACAAATTCATTAGCGTGCTCAATCACAAGGTGGAAAAAAAGGGATTTGGAAATATATATGACAGAGGAACGAACAAGGGTCATGTGATCATGTATTATACCCCCCTCAACTTGCAATGACCTCTGGTGCTGCTCCAGGATTAACATTTATAATACAATAACATTTATATTTATAACATTTACATAATGTAATAGAATATAATATAAAATTATATTTATCATTATTGTACATTTATTTATATTTTTTAAAAACTCCCTAAACAAAGTAATATGTATATAAAATATACAATATATAATATAAAAATTGAGAGTATTTATTTGTACTTATTTATTAAATTAATTACAAAATAAAAACTAGTGTTTATGTTTAATATTTATACACTTTATATGTATATATTATGTATTTATTAATTTATAAATGTAATAAATTATTTATATTACTAACTATATAACTAAAACTAATTTATATAATGATTAAAAAACATTTTTAAAAATATAAAAATATATATCTAGTGTGTATATGTAATATACAGTTTATGTGTAGATATTTATAATATATAAAATATTTATATATATAATAATTATAAATCATGTTATATATCATATTTTTATATATTTGTTTATATATTTCTTGTATGTTTAGGGGAATTTTATAAATATAAAAATGTAATAATTAACATAAAATAAATATTTGAAAAAATATATATTTAAAAAATGTATGACACTGTTAAGTGTGATATTATGAATTAAAAGTCATCCTTTAATCAACAAAAGTAAAAACAGAAGCACAAAATTAAACAGGTAGTGATGAAAACTACAAAGACGTTTCTTACCAAGGTAGAGGGAAGCGTTCTCCTTTTTCACGTTATCATCCAGGTACGTTGGTCCCAGCGTGTAGATAGGAGTGGATCCCATGCCCACCAGGACCTGGGCACAGATGAACAGGGCAACATATATGGAGTGATCGTTGCCCTCTTGGTCCCTTGGACAGGACCACACATCCAGAGCATCCCTTCTGCTCCCATTCCCATTCGAGCACAGGCCCTTGTTCCCCGTTGACAAATTGACCTCTTGGATTTGATAGGGTGGAGAGATGAAATGCGGAAGGGAGAACAGAGCTGCGCCCACGGCGATGAACACCCCTCCTACTGCCAACCAGCGTGGCCTCTGGCCTCGACCCCCGAAATAACTGATGAAGACCACCACCAGAAGACTTCCAATGTCAAAGCAACTAACCAGCAGTCCCGATTCTGAACTTCTAAGGCTGTATCTCTTCTCTATAGTGGTGATGACACTACTAAGGTAGCCCGAGACCATCAAAGACTGGATGAACGTCAGGTAACACATACAGAACAAAAAACACCTAGAGTCTGAAAGAATCACCCTCACGTACTTCCTCACAGGAAAGCGGATGAATCTTGCCAATGAAAAGCCTATCTTTTTGCCACCTGCTCGGTTGGATTCAGTTCTCATAGAGCTGCTAAGACCCACCATGCTGGACATGGAAGGGGATAAATCTGTCCTGGTGGGTGAATCCAGTTCACTCAAGTCTCCTTTCTGTTGCAGCTCATTGAACGGCAAGCACTGGTCGGTATTTACTAAAGTCTGCGTCGTACTGACCAGCCTCGGTTCCAATGACTCATTAACGGTAGGACAGTCTCCGTTAAGAACGGGCAGGCTTTTGGATTTGTAGTAACCTCCTGGAACTCCATATTGTCCCTGGAATTCACAGACTTCCAGAGATTCTGATACATCACTCCTGGTCTCATCATTATATGATGAAGTCATTTTGGCTTCGTGGAGTCAATGCAAGTAGAACTAAGATGATTAAGAACTAAGAACTAATTAAATTAATTAAGAACTAATTAAATTGAAAGTTTACAGGAGTTATTCTACAGATTAGACACACAATAAACAGATTAAAGAGAACTAGATTTCCAACCATGATCACTCTGTATAGCTGTCCCAACAGTTATTTTTCTTATTCCTCATCATAATAAGTCATAATGTGGTCATATCATATGCATTTGATATATATAATAGTTCACCTGTTGTAGCTGCCTACAGTTTCGCCTCATTTATAAGTATAGCAGCGAAAAGTTCAATTCATGTCATTTGAATACACAGAATGAAATTATCTCTGGTCATGGTGCTGAAATTATTCTTTGTAGTTCAGTGATTCAGAATCCTAAAGACAATGGAAATAAAGGCAAACTAGTGTTAATATGTGTTTACTAACTGTTCAAGAAGCAATACAAACAGCGTACAGATCCTGTCATTTGTTTTGTTTAGTCGAGCTGTTGTCTGGTAGATTAGTGGTCGAGAAAGACAAAGAATAACAGTAAACGTGCGACGGACCACTGATAAAACACTGTGAGGAAAATTAAAAACCTTGTCAACCTGCTCGAATTATTTGTTTATCTAATACAACTAATTCCCCACCTAACGTTTACGAAGTCACGACTTTATACATGAGTGAACATATAGTACAATATACTGTCAGTCCAAATACTGATCCTTTCTTTGAATTAATTCACAGCACGTCGGTTACAGCTCGACTCTAAGCTCTAATTAAAATAACGAGACGTAGTAATAATAATGAACTGAATGAAGAGTAGTGTACTTACAAGGGCAGATAGAGACAGAGGTAGTGAGTTGTTGTCCTCGACACGGACAGTGAGTGAATGAGATTGCGGATTTGATGAAGGGGGTTACGGAGCCCTCCAAGTGCATGCTGGGAAATGTAGGACGATTTCCCTTTGTTAAAGGGATAGTTCATCCAAAAATGAAAATTTGATGTTTATCTGCTGTTTTCCCTTTGTTTTTAAAACATACTTATCCCTATTTCTTGACCTCAAAAACCATAATTCATGATGTTCAGATAGATGAAAAAAGTACACTTTGTGACAACATGCCCCAATAGCTGTACAATGGAAGTTGCCATTAAATAGTGTATCATAGTCATCAAAATGTGTCAAATAATAAAAATAACTAACAAAACAACAAAAAGTAAACCTGAATGCATTTAATAAACGGTATAATTTTAAATTAACTTTAACATTTTAAAAAATGTGAAGAACTTCTGTCCACTTGTTGCAGCTAGCTAAAATATCATGATAAAAAAGTGAATAACTAAATAAAATAAGTTTGAGGATGTATGTAAATTTGAAAACTGTGATTTCTTCAGAATTCTTTAACAAATAGAAACATCAAAAGAACAGAATTAGAAATCTTACTGTCACTTTTGTTTAATTAATGTGTTTATTAATTCAACATTTTTGACCATGTATTATGTGTATGTAGTCTATAAATGTAGACTTTTTAAATTTCCATGAAAAGATAAAGGTGTTAAATGTTTGAAACTTCCAAATATACAGCCTAAAAGTAATAACCAAAAAGCTTCTTCATAATGACAACTAGGCTAGCACATAAAAAGACTCAAGACAAAGGTGTAATAATAAAGACAAACCTGATCTTTATGGTCTTCCTCAGGGGTCACTCTCACCCAGGTGTCCAACTGACCTTTGACCCATGTGTCACTCTTTTTTTAGTGTCAGTCAGCACCCACCCTTCTCCATGAAAAAGTCTTAGAATGTGTATGTGGCAGTGTTTGTCCAGCTTATGAAGTTTCCAATGAAAGTCTGAGAGAAGCATGTTCATTATCTTTAAATCAAATAGTTACAGGTACAAAAATAGCATCTCACATCACTGTTGCACAGTTCTTCCATAGATGCTGAAAGTTTTTGCTTTGAGTCATGTCTCAGTCTTGTCTCCTTCAGTGAGGACACCCCTAATTACTTTCCCACATCCCTCTTAAGCTGTACTCAAACACACACCGGGGAACTGAGTACAGTAACACCACCTGGTGGTCATATGCGTCTTTTACAACTAATTTTTTTAGATCACTGCAAATATGTTGCAACCACAGCTCAGTCAATCAACATTTCATTATATTTCTTCATTAGTCTTTTAATCTATTTAATATAATCTTTATATAATCACAGAACATTTGAATGTGGATCAAATAATTTTTTACTTTGTGATTTCTTTTAATCATCTGTAGGCTATTTAAATAATATTATTTGTATAACATTAAGATATTACATTTTTTTTTTTTTCTGTGTAGTCAATACATTTCATTGCATTATGTATTAAAACTAAGCCATCCTACACCTTCAGCAAAATGGTACTTTGGTACCTGACCACAGTTCCAATCTTTCTTAAATAAATAAAAGTAAATAAAAACTGGTTTCTGCTGCCTTGCTGGAGTGCATACATTTATAGAGCAAACATTAAGAAAAATGAATGGCATTGGTAGAGTCATGCCAAGACAGCCTGCTCAGGACTTCTTGGCAGAACGTTATTAATGGCTTGACTGTTATTCAAAGCACTCAGCCCAGGACATGGCCTAAAATAAAGAGCATGTGGAGACATAGAAAACAATTTTTATGGCTAGAAAGGATAAAACTAATCACAAAATGTCCTCAAGTATGATACACATGAAAGAACAATGAAATAAAGTGCATTTTCATCATATGTTCATATTTTATTCATCATATGATCCTTTTATTCAGTTAGCTTATTTTCATATCCTGGAAGGCAGAATCGCATCTTCTGCACCCAAATAACAATAGATAAGAACTTTAACTGTAAAACTCATTACTTTGCAGTACATTATAAAAAGCTCTACAACTTTCATTTGCAGTGTAACATCAGTGTCACATTTTTTTTAAAAGTAATTTCATTAAATTGTACAATCCAATCCATCAATGAAAGGTTAGAGGCACAAGGTAGGTGAAACAAATGTTTGGCAGATTTTTATTTCAAAACAGCTTCTTGGCTTTCCAGAAGCCAGAATTGTTTCAACACCACTGGTTAAAAAGTAATGTAATATTTGCAAATTTGGCAGGTCATTTCAAATTCAAACAATTTTTACTTCAAAAATGAATTTAGACATCACAATTCTAAAAGACAGGACGAAAATGGTCAGAAAGCTCAGAATAAATGCCCATCTCACATTCTTCACAAATGAAACAAGCTACTTTAAAGTAATTACTTTTTGTAGGTTAGTGAAAATGTTAGTCATCCATGATTAAAGCACTTACAGTGAATGCCCTTCTTCTATTATATGGACTGAATGCAGCAGAACTATACAACATTTGTGAGAGAACCATTTCACCAACAAGTCAAACCTTTGAACCCACAATCCAAGAGTATAAAACATGTTCAAGCAGTGTTTTAAAGTGTAAACAGTGAACCAAACCTAACAAGCTGAAGTAAACAGAAGAAAACACCAACGATACTCATTAACGAAAGCGAATCCAACAAATAATGACTTGTGTTGGGTGTCAACATGGAGTCGTTTACGTCTAAAGAGACTGCAGAAGTCGACAAACATAAAAAAGTGCATCAAATATCTGGGGAAATAATCTGCATGTGGTTAATCAATGCTATCTCACAACCAATTTGTACGTATTTTACGAGGTGGCTAATTCGTACGAATTCATACTACCTCACTCATACGATTTTATACAGTTTGTCTAGACCTCAGTGACGGGTAGGTTTAGGGGTGGGGTTAGGTGTAGGTCATTCGTACAAATTCATACGAATTGTGCTACTCGTAAAATATGTGCGATTTAGCAAAAATCGTATGAATTTGTATGAGTGAGGTTGTACGAATTTGTCACCTCGTAAAATATGCAATTTGACGGTTTCACCATTTTAACCTGTTTCTTAATTAAAAATATATTAAAACCTTACTTTGATGGTGTTTTCTCACTTGAGATTTAAAACCAAACCCAACATTTAAGATGCATCCGATACTTTACCTCTACATTTTTATATTTATATACATATATATATTTTTTTACAAAATACATAACACTGATTTCTAATAAATGGAAGTACCTGTAAAAAATTAAATAATTCATTGGATTATACAGGAGAGCAGTCCATGCTCCATGGGGTTAGTGTCTCTGAGTTGGCTGGCTTCACAGTGCATGGCAGCAGTCCTTTCTCAAAGGGGATGGTCCCGAGGCGCTACCCTCCGAGTCCTGAACATCCCTGGGCTTGTGGGTAAAAGGTTTGACACTTCCATTCCACTTCTCCTGTAGGGCGTCACTCCGGGCTGGAGGAGTTTCCCCAGCCGGCTCTGGGGGTCTGGCTGGCTGCGATGAGAGGGGAAGGTAACCCTGGGTCTGAAAAATGTCCTCCTCATCTTCCTGCAGGTGGAGATCCAGAATTTTAGAGCTGCGCAACAGAAAGTCATGGCGGGTCTCCAGTTCAGTGACGCCGTTGCCGCTAAACGTCATTCCGTCATTGTCCAACTTGTTTTCCAGCTGTTGAACCCAGGTGTCTCCCCTGGGAAGCGTGCTTGGTTTAGTTGGGCGGCCTTCTGGGAGTTCATTAAGAGACTTTAAATGACTCTTTTGAAGAGTTTTGGGGGTTGGACCTCTCGAGGGACCTTTGGTGACAGGAATCGGGGGCCGTTCCTTTCGGATTGGGAATCCAGCACCGCTGGCCTCCTCCGGGACCCCGGAGCCCAGCTCAGCCAGGGGGTCAAGCTTATCGGTTTGGTTGAGTGTCTTTAAATTTCTCAGCAGTGCAAACATACTATCTACATCCTTCCAAAAGTTCATCCAGTCATCCAGGTCAGGACTGTAGTTGTGTCTGTGTTCATACAGACTCTCGTTCACGCTGTACAAAACTGCCAGTCCTTGCCAGTCAATGACCTCTGTGAAATTGGGCAGCTTAACCTTTGTGGACGTCCCAGGCTGGCTGTGTTCTGGGAAACGGGAGAGGGGGAAGTGAGAGAAATCAGTAAGGGTTGATGATTGCCGCACAGAAAAGCATTTGCTTTGGAATGAGTCTAAAACATGCAGTTATTCCCGGCCTACTTATGCTGAGGGGTCTTGAATTAATGCCCCACACACCACTGCAGTGCTTTTTTAAGCCTTACACCAAGAGAAAAGCTCTATTCTGAAGCAGTAAAGCAGTGTGAATGCAGATCAAGGCAACGAATGTCCTCCAAACAGACACCCAAAACCAATACATCATAAATAAAGAGTGCGCAGACAGACTTAAAATCTGTGCAATGAGGTTCAAACCAAAATGAAACATCCAACGAGAGACTGAAAAGATGGAAAATCCTGGAACCAAGAAATCAGCAACCCAAAAAAACAAAATATGACGCTGAAAGTGTGGGTGAGAGGTAGAAAATGAAAAACTGCAAAAACAAAAGCGTGTTAAAGGAGGGCGAGAGAATGAAATGAGCATTCCCAGAGCGGGTCAGGCAGTAACTGATGGCCTAGGAGACATGGGCCGCACTGAACCAGAACTGCCACTCAACTCGGGGTCTATGGAGATGTGGTGTGCAGTTTGGAGAACTACTTGAGAGTGGAATGAGAACAGAAATGGGTTCATATGGTCTCAAAGACTCACAGGAATGAAAGGCTTGGCCTCCTCAACTTTGACCATTTTCGATGCTGCTGTTGCCTGGTAAGCAGGTAAGCCAAAAAACAGAGATGTCAAGATAGGCGTGAACGAGAAATATGTACGAAAAAGTCTGAAATATTGATGTTCTGTGGACTGAGAAGTCCCCACTAAATGATGTGTATGAATAGCCTTGGATTTTATGTAAATTATTTGAGTTTAGGAATACATAAAAACAACAAG